ATGTCAGAAATTGTTGACCTGAGTCCCCCACAGCTCAACATAACAGCATGGCTTTCCTTCCTATATTTCGTCTTCATCCTTTTCTACTGGATGGTTAAGACCAAGGTAAAGCAGGACCTATTCAACAAGAGTTGTAGCTTTTGGGTCTGAGAAGGTCAGTGAAATCCCCTCAGGATTTATCTTGAGATCCTGTACCTCAGATTGTATATCCTTTGTTAGTGTCAGCCATGTGGATGAGTCACAGCCCTTGCTTGGCCAGTGTGCTCTCTGTGAAAGCCTGAGAGTATGTTTTCTCTCCATGTGACTCTCCTTAGGCACACTCTACATCATCGATCACTATCCTCTTTGGCCCCATAATCTCCTTGATCAGAAAATTTGGAACACTACCGAGTTACATGACGTTACAGTACAAGTTCTCATATGTCTTGAATCTTAATTGAACTTAGAAGGTTAGGGTCAAAATGTTGGCTTTCCTTGCAGCCCTTCTTTTTCTCTAATTTTGGTCTGCAAACTTAGGTTGTTAACCATCCAGAAGACAAGCTTATTGTTATTACCTGATGTGAGAATTTATTGCTATAACTTTCCCACCAAGACAACTTTCATTGCATCCCACAGGTTCTGGTAAGTTATATCTGCATTTTTGTTAGATTTAAAATATTATTTAATTTCTTCTTTAGTTTCATTCAAGAGCCATTGATTGTTGAGGCGAGTATTATTTATTTTTCATATGTTTACATAGCTTGTGCTTTTCTTGTGAATAATTTCCAGTTTCATTGCATTATGGTCAGATAATTTTCAATTCCTTTGCATTTACTTAAGCATGTTCTATGATATATTTTGGAGAATGTCCCATGTGTAGCTGAAAAATCTTTATTCTGATGCTATTTGTTGGAACACTATGTAAAGGTCTATTAAACCCATTTCTTCACATGTTTTGTTTAGTCCTGTTGTTTCTTTTTCTTTTTTTCCCTGCATTTAGGACAGGGTCTACAGGGTCTCACTATGTAGATCAGACTCATAGTGATTCTCCTGTTTTCAGCTTTCCAAGCTCTGGGATTACAGGTACATGCCACCATGCCTAGTCTCAATTGCTGTCTCCCCATGTCCCAGGGGGTGGGGTGATGTGAGCATGGCATGCCGGGGATCAAACACCAGCTACTTTCTCTGCCTAAGCAGGTGCTTTAGTCTGCTGAGCTTGATGGCCATCCCAAAGGAAATTTTTTTATTGTGTATTTGGTACAGGGTCTCGCTACATGGTGGCCCCCTCAGCTCACCCTGGGGTAGGGGCTGGCACAGCATATGGTGCCAGGGATCCAATCCTGATATCTGCTTTTGCCTAAGCAGGTGCTTAGTTTGCTAAGTACCTCACCAGCCCTCTAACAGATTTTAATATTGTGTTCTTTTGCTCATTTTCTGGGATCTTGAGTATTGTGTGTCCAGGTGATGATTTATTTTGACTATGGGTAGCTGGAGTTCTATATGCTTTGATATCTGTGTATCAGATTCTTTCCCCATGCTTGGGAAATTTTCTGCTATTACTTCTGCAAGCACTCTTTTTATGTCTTTTGTATTATTTCCAGCTGTTTTGTTGATATCTATTGGCCTTATGCTATTTTTCCTTGCCTCATCTTGCAGTTGTTCTATTGTTATTTCCTGGTTTCTTGTTATTTTTCAGAGCTGTTTCCTTTCATGTTCACTAGCTGCTATCTTCAAGGTCTGAAATTCTATGTTCTGTTTTTTTCCAGTGGTTTTTCCAGCACTCAATGGAATTTTTAATGTCCTGGCTATCAGTTTGAACCTGTTTCATATATTTTAGAAATTTTCTGTATTGTTCATTAAATGTTTCCATCATTTTTCTATTCTCTCCTATTTTTTTTTATCTTTGTCTTTGTTAAAAGTATTGAGCAATTGTTTCAGGAATGTTCGCTTTTCCTTTTACCTGAGAGATTATTTCTGATCTGATTTCCTCCATAGCTGGAGGACTTCTTTCCTTCAGTTCCTATTATCTCAGAAATTTTATGTGTGTGACTTCCAAGTTCTTCTGGATCTTGTCTCCTGGACTTGTTTTGGGTGGGCTTCATGTCTGAGATTGCTTTTGTTCCTTCTTTTTGTCATTTTTTGCAGTGATTGCTGATCAGCAGGGTGCTGTTCATGAGGGCTCTCCAGAATGTGGGAGGACAGGGTAGGCTTACCAAGGTGCATACTGGGTGGCGTTAGGTGTGGTTTCTGCCTCATTAAGGAGAGGGTCCAGCCGCAGTCCAAGAAGGATCTGATGAGGAGTGCAGGCCGAAGATGTGCAAGGCACTCTCGATGGTGGATTGGCACCGAGCAGTGTTCCACGAGGCTTCTGCAGGTTGCTGTGCTTGTCAGGCCTCAGCAGTGGTCTTCAGCGAGAGGAGGGGTGTCCAACTCAGTAAATTCCAGTGAGAAGTTTGGGAGGGGCAGGGGTAGGCCTGCTGAGTCTGACAGTCTTCAGGGAAAGGGGTGTGGCTGGAATCAGCAAACTCCCCAGAGATTATTTCCGATATAACTTTCAGTGGAGTTGAAAGTTAACCTCATGGAGTTGTTTCTTTAATTCAGTTATTATTTCAGAAATTTCAGGTGTATGACTTCCAATTTCTTGCATGTTGTCTCCTGACCTTGTTCTGGGTGTGATGGAGGGCTGAGATTTCATTTGGGTTCTTTGTCTTGTCAGTTTGTTTTCTTTCCAAAAGCTTCCTTTTTTTGTGCTCTGTGATGATTCTTGTGAGACTTGGTAGTTGGTAGGCATAGCACGAGTATCAAAGCTTCCCCAGGAAAAGTTTGTTCTTCAGGGACATCTTCTGTGTGTAGGATATTCTTGATTTGTGTTTTTCCCAAGATCCTACCTCCCAAATTAGTTGACAGGGTAATGTTGGTACCCACTTGGCTTAGTCACCAGCCTTTTGATGTAGGTCTTTGGTAAGGTTACCACTTCAGAGCTTCCTAGGATTGTTACACGAGGGAGAACAACTGATTCCAATACACACGACATGCTAGCTCCAGTAGTATAACTCCTAATGCTAGCATCAAGCACAACTTAGAAATTGAATGCTGTAACTACTGATTTCGTAGGTTAGGGTATATGAGCACAGTCCACAGTTATCTAATAGAATCATTTGTGAATTAGGAGACTATGTAAAGTGCCTCCCCTCGTCAGCATGGATTTACTCTGGGTTTCTCTGGAAGAACTGGTTGCTGAGGTTGAGGCAAGTTCCACTCTGGCTGACTGTCCCCTTGTCAGGCACCTGAGCTCCTCCAGATCGAGGTTCCTGTGGCGGTGGTAGGCAGACTAATGGCAGAGATTTTCTCCCCATAGACAGCTTACCACAGCCCCCATGATGGCAGAGCACTGATGGGTCAAATCTATGTTTCAAAGTTAAGTGTACATGTTGTGTTTGCTTGTCGTTACACACATTCGAATGAAAAAAGCTGAAGTTCTATTTTAAGTCTTTATTACCAAGTAGAGCAAGAAATCATCCTGTACACTGAAAATGCAAGAGAGGAAGTAATATGACCTCCATGCTGAAGGAAACACTATTTTGAAATGAGTTGTGATGCAAACTGTAACCTTCTGTACAAAGGGAGGACTTACCCTACAAAATGGTAAATCATATTAGTTATATCTCTTTTCCTGGAACTTAGCTGATTATGTAGGCTTGTCCTTTGGTCACTGACTAAATAAATGCTCAGGCCATCATACACAGGAATCGCATTTTGATAAGAAGTTGTTTCAAAGTACATTGTGGAGACACCACACCTTTTATTCTCAGACGATGGGCATTTGGGTTGTTTCCAAGGTTCAGCTATGACAAGTTGTGCTGCTATAACCATGAGTGCACATGTATAACTGTGCTATGATGTTTTTCATTCTTTTGGAAAAAACACCCAGAAGGGTAATAGCTGGGTTGAATGGGAACTCCAAGCAAAGCCTTTGAGGAGTCTTCACACTGTTTTTTTTTGCTCTGTTTTTGTCTTTGTCTTTGTCTTACTTTTTAAAATGAAAAAAGGACATTGTGATGAGAGAGCTACACTCTCGTGAATAGGCCAGATCAATGAGTAGCATAAGCATCATCTTTCTTTACATCATAAAGAAGATAGGCAGTGCTACCTGAGGCTTATTTTCCATGTAAGTTGGTTTTGCTTGTGCCTTAAAACAAAGAAAAATAATTGTCTTAACAGCTCCAACGTTTTTCAGGTGAGGACTGTGGTTTTGTTTTTCTTCTTCTGTATTTTAGGGAAGGGTCTGCAGGGTGTTCAAGGTCTCACTACTAGACCAAACTCCTAGTGATCCGCTTGCTTACAGCCTCCCAAGAGCTGGGATTACAGGCACACGCCACCACACGCAGTCTCAATTGCCATCTCAATGTACCATGGGGATGGGGCAGGTGCAGCAGACCTGGGGATCGAACCCTTGGCCCCTGCTCCTGCTTGTAGGCTCTTTAATCTGCTGAACTATTTGGCTGGCCATTTAAAATTTTTATATTTTTATGTTTTACTTTTTTTTTTCAGTACTGGGGATTGAACTCAAGGCCTTGTGCTTGCCAGGCAAGTGCTTATTCTACTGAGTTATCTTCCTGGCCTCCAGGTTAGAAGTATGAATAATAAAGAAACACAACATCACTTTGAAAATTTTATTTTTATTAGATATGGAGCACTGTGTGAAGTGTCCAGATCATCTATATGCCAACCTTCAGAGAAATTCCTGCCTTCAAAAAGCTGTGATATTTCTGGCTTATGAAGACCCCTTGGGAAAGGCTCTGGCTGGCACTGCCCTGAGTCTCACTGTCCTCACAACTGCGGTTCTTGGAGTCTTTGTGAAGCACCGAGACACTCCCATTGTCAAGGCCAACAACAGGGCTCTCAGCTATACCCTGCTCATCTCCCTCACCTGCTGTTTCCTCTGCTCCTTGCTCTTCATTGGCCGGCCCAACACAGCCACCTGCATCCTGCAGCAGACCACATTTGGAGTTGTGTTCACTGTGGCTGTTTCCACTGTCTTGGCCAAAACCATTACTGTAGTACTGGCCTTTAAGGCCACTGCTCCAGGCAGAAGGATGAGGCAGTTGCTGGTGTCAGGGGCACCAAATTACATCATCCCTATCTGCTCCCTGATCCAACTCACTCTCTATGGAGCCTGGATGGGGACAAATCCACCCTACATTGACACAGATGTGCACTCTGAGCATGGCCACATCATCATCGAGTGCAACAAGGGCTCCCTCACTGCCTTCTACTGTGTCCTGGGATACCTGGGCTCCCTGGCCCTGGTGAGCTTCACTGTGGCTTTCCTGGCCAGGAACCTGCCTGACACCTTCAATGAAGCCAAGTTCCTGACGTTCAGCATGCTGGTGTTCTGCAGCGTGTGGGTCACCTTCCTGCCCATGTACCACAGCAGCAAGGGGAAGGCCATGGTGGCCATGGAGGTCTTCTCCATCTTGGCCTCCAGTGCAGGGCTTCTGGGCTGCATCTTTGTCCCCAAGTGCTACATTATTTTTTTCAGACCAGAGAGAAATTCTATTCAAGGGTTTATAAATGAAACTCAGTATTGGAGAAAGAAACCTTAAGCTATATAAATATGGATTTCTCCTAAAGCAGGTAGAGGATCTGAGGCAATTTCATGCTATTTGAAATCAGATAGTATCACGTGGTTTTTATTTCTGGAAAAAGAGATTCTTCCTTCTCTAGTAGTCTAAATGTCACTTCTACCTGTCAGCATGTCATTTTTTAGTTTGAGTTTTATTCTCAATTATTTTTAATTTCTTTTTTTCTTTATTTTTCCATAATTTTATTGATAAACAAATAGCAATGAGACAGTTTCAAACCAAATTGGTAGGAC